AATAATATATTGTGCAGATAGAAATGGTCAGCATTCTCATTAGTACAGGAAATCAATGAAATTAAATTGTACATATATATATATATATATAATATTAAGATTCTTATTATTTTTATATCTCATGAATGGTTGGGAATTTGATAGAAGTGTATAGGAAATATATTGTAGGACTTTTACTAAGGTATAATATAGCATTGAAAAATTTTATTGTTAATATACGTGTTTGTTAATAACAAATTATTAATTAAATAAATTGGTACTCTTTAATTCGCGTATTGATATTGTTATGTTCTCTTTGTTTAAGAGGTTTTGAATTTCTAATATCATCTCGTTTATGAGCATTCGTTATTTTATTGTTATAAATATTTCGTAAATAAACAATTGCAGAAATAAAAGTTATTATCATTTTTCGTAGATGTACTAATGCAGAATTTACGTGCGCGGTCAAAATTTGTATTTACCGAAACGGGTTTTTATAATTATGCAAACGGTTCGATCTGGGTTGCCAGAAAAGTAAGTTGCAAAATTAAATAACTATATAGTAAATGTTTTTCTATTGATCGGTTGTAGTGATTATTCCTTATACACATTTATATTGTTCTCATTTCAAACTATTCGTTTTTTATTTTATTTTAATTTATTAAGAATTTATTATGGCTATCCTTGTCTTACACCTTGTGAACTGGTATTAAACTATCCTCGTCTTTCATGGAGTGAATGTTCAATTTCAATCTCGTTTATTAGTTTAATTAATTTAAATACAAAATCGGCGTTAACGTTACTGGTGTTTAGGAGTATAAGAGATTCCATTTTTATCATAATAATTAAATGTTAAAATTTTTGTTTAAAAATGAAAATTTTCAGCTTTAAAATGAATAAAAGACTAAAATATTAATGTAAAAGTGATTTGGTCTTTGTAAGTCTAAAGGGTAGGAAATTCAAAATGGCGGATGTGAAATTTTAATAATTTATAACTCGAGGACGGTAAGAGATAAAAAGATGAGGTTTTTTTTGTTGTGTTCAGACAATTAAGGACATTATTTTAGGTTGTTTAAAATTTCTGTGTTTTATGGATTTCTGTAATTTTTAATTATATCTCGGAATTAAGAAGAGATATGATGTAAGGGTTTTTGTGAGGTTACTTGACATGCTCTGCTGAGTGTCTGCAGTGATTTTATTCATCATCTTTAATAATATTTTTATGATAAATTTTATTGTTAATTAGTTTATTTTGAAAGATCCAACAATGGTTTATAATCAAAAGTTGTTTGACTTTTTGTGATAGTTCCATCAGTCACATTAGCTAGGTTGGTTAATAATATAATTAAATTGTTTATAACAATCATGTTTGAGAAATGTTAGTAAGATAATTATTATTTTAGCGTGATAATATTCTTCAGGCCCAAAAGGTTATGTTTTTATAAATGATCTGTTTTTAATTTATTTATTTATATTTTATTTTAATTTTCTGAGTTTATTCTTATGGAACATGTATTTATTCGTGTGTTGAATTGAATTTATATTGCATAAAGGATCTCATAAAGCTTGTAATATTCATTGACGATTAATTTTAGTGATTCTGGGGAGCTTTAACAAGCAATTGTCCAAAAAGTTTATAGTGTAATTCATGAAAATAGGGCTTAAGCTTGAAAAGAGGCCTTAAGGCAGCCATGTTCTCTAGGCTTGTGTCTACTACTTTAAGAACGCGTGCTCGCATTAGCTGAGTGATTGTTGTGACAGTTAGGTTAAGGTGTAATTATTTATTCTTATATTGTTTTCAGGTGCTGTGCAATAGAGATGGAAATCGAAAAATTTATGCGGCTGGAATATAGCGGTGATTATACCGTCAGACGTGACACCGATGTGTTCTTCGGGAACGGCGTGGTCAAGACAACGCGTCTTTGAGTTTAATTGATTTATTGCACCTTTCGTCGCTAGCACCACTACCGAACTTACAATGTTGTTCGATATGGAAATCTCACAAAAGAATCTTTACTTTTACCCGTCGAGAGGAATGTGCTCGTCACACGTTGGAACACAGACCGCTACTGATCCCGCACGTACACGCAAGCGGAGGGGAGGCTGAGACCGCGCGAGATTGGCTGAGCGATGATAGGAAAGCGCACGGGATTGGTTGGTCGTTAGTCGCAGCGCATTGAGTCATCGCGAAAGGACCGCGGAACGCGGAAGATCATGTGGTTTGAATACACAACAGATACATTGTTGATGACGATTACTTAACAACGCCGCTCCCTTGAAGGGTTCGCCTTCAACGTGTTATGCTGGATGGACACAATGTTTAAACGAATGTCAACGCGCGATCAATCCACAAGTTGAGAAGATGTATCGGATCTAATTTTGTGCGAGCTTAAAATAAATGACTAAATAATTTGTACTAACGATTAAGGTGATCCTAAAGCCGTGATCCTAGCCGATTTTTTTCAGTTTTTTTCTTAGCACTAATCTTTTAATTGGCTTTATAGAAATGCAAAATTCTTGTCTAGAATTAAAACGTACGCATCAAAATCTAGGTCATGGTGGTCGAATTTATATGTGGTGGTCGTCACGTATAACAAAAAATATTAATTTTTTTTCGTTTTCGATATAAATTCGACCACCATAACCTAGATTTTGATGCGTACTTTAATTCTAGACAAGAATTTTGCATTTCTATAAAACCAATTAAAAGATCAGTGCTAAGAAAAAAACTGAAAAAAACCGGCTAGGATCACGGCTTTAGGATCACCTTAAGTATGCAGTACTTAAATCTAAATATATTGAACGAATTAATGGGTTACACTTAAAGATAAAATGACACTTAAGAACGATAAAACAATAAAAGAAAATGTGCGATTAAGTCGATAAAGTTTTACAATGAAATGGGAGGAATTGAGAATTTGGTGGTTACGCCGGTAGTATGCCCAATTTAGCGAGAGGCCTAACATAAGAGCCCTTGCTCGTTTTGACAGTGGCCGAGCGCGCTATGCCGTCGGATCCGGTGTGTATCTCCTGGACCCGTCTGATGGGCCATTGCAGTGGTGCTGTTGCTTGCTGTTTTATTATGACCAATTGCCCCGTCATTAGCTGCTGACCCTTGAAAATCTTCCACTTGTTCCTCTGCTGCAAGGTGTTGAGATACTCGTAGCTCCACCTGTGCCAAAAGTGCTGACGCATTTGCTCAATTACTTGCCAACGCAATAACTTGTTTACATTTATATCATTTAAATCCAAAGCAGGAAAACTATTCAACGGTGCCCCGACCAGAAAGTGCCCGGGACTTAAATAATTTATGTCATTAGGGTCCAAACTTAATGGAGTGATAGGACGCGAATTCAAAATTGCTTCCATTTCGTAAGCCACACCGACTATCCAACAGGGTGGAAATGTTATTGGCACCTATTATGGGAAAATTTAATAGCCTTAACAAAGACAACAAGACCAAGACAGCAGCAGAGAAGGCTAGCACCTCTGGTAAGAAGAGCAGCTCCAATCCTCCGGCTAAACCGTCTAACAGCGGTAATACTAAACGGAAGAATAAGAAAAAGGCGACTGACAATAAAAAAGGGAGGAACGGTGGTGAACCTACGGACAAAGAAACATATGCCGGGACGCAAAAAGCCATTGAGCAGGCAGGTCCTAGTTTATACGCCATGGTAACCAAACGCGGGAAGAAACCGGATAAACAAGCACCGGGCACGATGCCGACTGGTAGGAACCAAAAAGGAGGAGGGGGACCCAACAAATCGGCACCAACACCGAGGACTCCGGGCAATAAAATGCCTAGCATTTCTGAGAGAAAGGCAAAAAGCAAATCCCCCAGAACAGCGGCGGTCACCCTCACCAGTATTGGGGGGGACTACGAGGCCTTATTGAAAGAAGCTAGGAGAATGATTCCCCTCGGGGAATTAGGAATCGAGGGCGGCTTAAAGAGCAGAAAAGCTCAAACAGGTGCCATTCTCATCGAGATCCCTGGAGCTGACGGCGCCGCGAAGGCTGATGCACTCGCGGCTCGCATGTCGGCCCTATTTAATGGTCGTGAGGGAGTCATCGTGTCCAGGCCGATTAAAACTGGAGAAATCAGAGTCATGGACATCGATGACTCAATTACCGGCGAGGAGTTGGCTGAGGCTGTCGCCGAAGCCGGAGGGTGCCAACCGGAGAAGGTCCAGATTGGCCCCTTTAGAGTGGGACCCAATGGACTGAGGACGGCGTGGCTTAAATGTCCCTTGGCGGCAGCCAATGCTATCGCCAGTAAGGGCAAGATCAGAGTCGGTTGGTTTGACTCACGGGTGCGGCCCTTGGACGCACGCCCCCTTCAATGCTTTAAATGCTTGGAAGGGGGACATGTCAAGGCCAACTGCCCGAATGTAGCCGATCGCAGCGACAGGTGCTACCGGTGCGGCGAAGGAGGCCATCGGGCGAAGGACTGTGCAGCCCCTCCTAAATGCCCGGTGTGCTCGGACGCTGGTAAGAAAGCTAACCATCGCGCCGGTAGCAAGGCCTGCTCTCAGGTCAGAAAGAAGATAAGATCTGGTAGAAGGCCGATGGTTGGCACACAAATCCCCCCGAAAAAAAATAGTCAGGGGGGTGAAAGGATGGAAACCGAACCGGAATTGGGGGATGATTGCCACCTACCGCGAACGGGTAGTCTCCCGACGATAACGAGTATGGAAATTGGGATATTCAAAACCCCCTTGGGAAAGGCACCAAAGAAAAGGGCCGCAGATGAGGCCCTCAACGGAAACGGGGAGGAACCCCCGAAACCCCCAGAGATCCAGAAAGACCCGGATGATAGCTCCTATGGACAAGGGATCGGATGTCTCGGGGCCGTCGCAGACCCTGCCAATACAGGATAGGCCGCCCCCGGTCCAACTAGTGGGGCAGGAACAAACGTTCCAGTTGGTGCCGTTGCTGAACAACCCGCCTCCCCCCACTAATGTGGAGGGTGAAGACAACGGGAAGAAAGAGGAGGGAGGCCTCTAGTCTAAACAGCGACTACAATGTCCCAGAAAATTCTCCAGGCCAACCTTAATCACTGTCGCGCTGCCCAGGACCTGTTTTTACAGGCGATGGCCGAGTGCGGCGGTGGCCTGGGGATTGCTGCCGAGCCGTACCGCGTACCGCGAGACCACCCGTGCTGGGCGGTCGATCGGCGCGGCTCGGTGGCTATCACATGGAGGCAGACGGCTGAACCCGTCGCCTGTACTCGTATTGAGACGGGTGACGGGTTCGTAGCCGTCAAGTGGGATCATATCACTGGGTCATATCAAGTGGCGGTGTACGTATCTCCCAATATTAGCTCTGCTCAATTCAACGAGTATTTGGGCAGGCTTTGGGACTGCGTCACAAAAATTCTGCCCGAACCAGTGGTGGTGGCCGGGGACTTCAACGCCAAATCTGCGCTGTGGGGGTCCCCGGTCACGGATACCAGGGGCAAAATATTTGAGAGATGGGCGGCGGGTCTCGGACTATGCATCGTTAACTCCGGGACCACGCAGACCTGCGTGCGGCGCTGGGGGGGCTCCATCGTGGATATCACGTGGACCAGTCCCTACGCCGCGCGCCGGATCACGAGATGGAGGGTGGCTGATGAGACTGAGACCATGTCCGACCACAGGTATGTGGAAATGGACATATCGGTCACCCCCCCGGAAGTCTGGGCTCGCCGCCGGGAATTGCCGCGACGATTCCCAAGATGGGCCCTGAGGAAGATGGATCAGGACAAGTTTCGAGCCTCGATCCAGACTTCCCTATGGGCGGACGACGTTCTCGTCCAATCTGAGGACGTGAAGCGGCGAGGTGGATTCGGGGCATCGTAACCACAGCGTGCGACGTCGGGATGCCCCGATGCAAGACCAGCCCGCGAAAAGCTATGTACTGGTGATCAGGAGATCGCCGAATTGAGGCGCTCCTCCGTCCAGGCGGGTGTGGCTGAGGGCGAGAAGAAGCCGACAGCCAGACAGGATGGTGGAGGCTGGGAAGGGTTACCGCTTTGCCAAGCGGGCCCTCTCCAAGGCCATTCGGGTGGCCAAGGACCGTGCCTGGGAGGAAATGCTCCGTGCCCTGGATCAGGATCCATGGGGGCGTCCATATCAGATGGTTCTGAACAAACTCAGACCATGGGCGCCTCCAACCACGGAAAGCATGGACCCCGAGCTACTGGAGAGAGTCGTCGACGCCCTCTTCCCGGATGACCCGGCAGAGAGGGCGTTCGGCGGTCCCGCTTCACCAACAGTAGAGTGGGACGATGAGCTCGGGGTCTCGATGGAAAAAATGAAGGAGGCTGCCAAACGTCTCCTGGCAGGGAAGGCTCCAGGGCCGGACGGAATCCCAGGCAAAGTTTGGTCCTTGGTCACGGGGAAACTGGCCGAACATCTGAGAGAACTATACTCCAGATGCCTTAAGGAAGGCCGGTTTCCCCAAGAATGGAAGGTGGCGAAATTGGTTCTCCTCCCCAAAGCGGGGAAGCCCGCCGACTCACCCTCGGCGTATAAACCAATCTGTCTGCTGGACGAGGTCGGCAAACTATTTGAGAAAATCATCGCCGACCGAATCGTCCGGCACCTGTCTCGGACTGGTCCGGACCTATCGCCGGACCAGTACGGTTTCCGGAGAGGCCGCTCGACGGTGGATGCTATTGAGCACATCATGGCCCTCTCGGAAGCCGCGGCGGAGGAGGGCAAGGTGACGCTTGGCGTATCGTTTGATGTCGCCAATGCCTTCAACTCCCTGCCCTGGCCGGTCATAAGGGGGGCGTTGGTTCGTCATGACGTTCCCCCCTATTTGATCGCCGTAGTGTTTGACTATCTCCGGGACAGGAGATTGGTCTATACCTCGGTCTATACCGATCGAGACGGTATAGTGAGGGTGAGGTTGGTTGTTCGCGGGATTCCACAGGGGTCAGTACTTGGCCCCCTATTATGGAACCTGGGCTTCGACGCAGTTCTCCGCACCACTCTGCCCCCGGGATGTTGGCTCAGCGGCTTCGCTGATGATATTTTCCTGGGGGTAAAGGGGGACGATTGGGAGGAGGCCAGGAACATCGCCAATGTCGCGGTGGCGGCCGTGGTGGCCTCGATGAAGAAGGTGGGCCTCCGGGTGGCCCCCCAAAAAACGCAGGCGGCGTACTTTTACGACCGCCGCGCCGTGGGGAATCCGCCCGGAGTTTACATCACAGTAGAAAAAACCCGCATCCCCGTGGGGGCTCAGATAAAACTTCTGGGCCTCTGGTTGGATGGAACTTGGAGCTTTGGCGAGCACTTTGCTCGCCTGGCTCCCCGAGTTAAGGGTGTGGCAGACGGTCTGGCAAGACTTATGCCAAACCTAGGAGGGGCGAGCGGACGTGCTCGCCGGCTGTATGCCGCAACTGTGCACGCCGTGGCACTCTATGGCGCCCCTGTTTGGGCATCAAAGGCGGAGGGCTCCAGGCGCATCAAGATGCTGCTGCGTCAGATGCAGAGGCCTGTAGCCTTAAGAGTGTCACGAGCATATTGCACAGTGTTACACGCGGCGGCGACTGTCCTGTCCGGACTCCCCCCATGGAGCTAGCTGCAAGGCAGCGAGCCGACACGCATCAGCGAATGAAGGAGTTGAGAGCCCGGGGGGGACCAATTCCGGATAGGGCACGCCAAGCCATTAGGCTCCAAGAAGCGACGGTCCTGCGGAGAAAGTGGCAGGAATATCTCCGCATCCCACTTTAGCCGGGAGAAGGACCGTCGACGCCATCCAACCTTGCCTGGACGAGTGGCTGGGTAGACGGCGATGCGGGTTATTATATCATGCGACGCAGGTGCTCACCGGGCACGGCTGCTTCGATGAGTACCTGCGTCGCATTGGGAAAGAGGCCACCAATAGGTGCCACCACTGCAATGCGGAGAGGGACACGGCGCAGCACAAGCTGGAATTCTGTCCGGCGTGGGATGTGCAGCGCCGTGTCTTAAAAGGGAGTGTTGGGGACGACTTGTCCCTGTCGGCGGTCGTGGCTGCGATTGTCGACAATGAAGAGAAATGGAGGGCATTCCTGGCCTTTTGCGGCCAGGTAATGTCCTTCAAAGAAGAGGCCGAGAGGATTCGCCGGGGGGAGAGAAACCCTCCCCCGGGTCCGGTGAATGCCCTTCAACATAGATATCGCGGACCGTTAGAAAGACATAACGTCCATTTGTTCGCCCGGTCGTTGCCGTAGGACGAACAGTCGCGGCACCGCACGAGAGCTGATCAGTACCTCCCAGCCCTTCCTCCCCGACGAGAGGGATGCTCGGAGGAGGAGAGATTCGGCGCTTCCGGCGGGGAATCCGGAGCGTCGAACATATACTCTCACAACAATGAGAGGAATGACAGAGTGGATGGTGTCCCCACCCTGTTATAACAACAGATAAATAGGCTTCCAGAGCCACGAGCTAACAACTCAAGGAAGGGAGCCATCATTGGCTCGGCGCCAAGGGCGACCCGGATAGCAATAGTAAATGTTCCCGGGCGCCCTCAACAATGGCGCAGGTAAGGACACCCGTAAGGTTTTAGTGGGTAGGCTGCGCGCGCTGCACTTTATCGAATGCAGCGTGCGTGGAATCCCACACTCCTCTCGTCCTCTCCCCGGCGGGCGGGGGGGGGTCTTCCCCCTCCAATACCAGAGGGGGCTGTTGGGCCATATACCGGGCTTGCCCGGGAACCTAGCAGTAGATTTCCTCACGTTAAAAAAAAAAAAAAAAAGGGGGCTCGCGTGGGTGTCGCTGCGTGGGGTTGTAGCGAGGCGTATCGGTCATCCTCCCAGTAACGAGAAGCTCGCGTCTTTCCTCTCGGGTTCGCTCGAGGGTCGGATGCGAGACGGCGGGGAGCGCTCGCTGTGGTCGAGGGCTCGGAATGCCGCGCGGAGACAATCCGAGAGATTGTCGCTCCGGTGGGAGTGGTGTGCGGCTACCGAGAAGATGATGGTGGTATGCCGGGGTGCCAGGGGCGCGACGGTGAAAATGCCACCAGGAGCTAGCTCCCAGGTGGTACATCGCTTGCGCTCAGCTGTGATAGAGTATTATACAGACCGGCTGTTAAGCAAGCCCGAAGGGGAAGGGGAAGGTGTTCGAGGTGTCGTTGCGGGCGAGGGCGAGCAATCACTTCGCCCGTAATGGCAGCTTCCCCCGCTTCACCGACTGGCGCTTTATCCATCGCGCCAAGTTGGATGTCCTCCCTCCTAATGGTGCACGCCGTTGGGGGGAGCCGGACAAAAGGTGTCGGCGTTGCGGGGGGGCAGCCGAGACCCTTCTCCATGTTTTAAATCATTGCGGCGTCCACTCGGCCGCCATACAGCTGAGGCACGACGCCGTCCTGCACCGTCTCTGGAAAGCTTGTTGGCTTCCGGGAGATAAACGGGTGAACCAGCGGGTCGAGGACGTCGAGGGGAAACTTGAGGGGCTACAACCTGATCTTGTGATCAGGCACGAGCCCTCCAAGAGTGTCGTCATTTGCGACGTGACGGTGCCCTTTGAGAACCGTTGGCAGGCGTTCAAAGACGCAAGGAAGAGGAAACTTGCCAAGTATTCTCTCCTTGCTGAGGCGCTCCAGCGCAAGGGGTACCGTGTGGTCGTGACGGCCTTCGTCGTTGGCGCCCTCGGCTTTTGGGATCCGACTAATGAGGGGGTGCTGAGATTGCTGCGCGTGGACAGCGCATACGCGACCATAATGCGCCGTCTCATTGTCTCGGATACCATTCGCTGGTCAAGAGACATCTACGTGGAAAATGTGTCCGGCGTGCGTTAGTACGCCGCTCCTCCGCGTCCTTCCGCTGATGGGGTGCCGGCCACTCCGCTCCGCGCGATTCGCCGGCGCTGGCCCACCAGCGAATAAGAGCGGCGCTAGTTATCTTCTTTTTTCAGTCCTTGGTGATCCTATGTGTTACGAGAATGAGTGTCGCGTAATTTATTATTTTACACATTAAGTGGCCACGAAGGCCACATAATTTATATTGTAAATAGTTCGATGTCATGCCCACGATATTCTTCTGTGTGTCTTCTTCTTTTCTACTCTTTTTCTTCTTATTTATATATTTTCGCACTTTTGTACTTTTTATCTTATTTTTCCCTTATTTTGTATTCTCTTCTAGGGTTGTGTGGGGTGATGTGCAACACGTTCACTCGTTGCTCGGAAAACATATCCAAAAATCAAATTCTTGAATATATCATGGCTGTATAATGTAGAGGAAGGAAAATACTACAATTCTCTCTCTCTCTCTCTGCGTGATTAGATTTTCAAAATTTAAAATTTTTTCTAAAAATTTTTCAAGTTTTCAAAAAAACGTCTGTTTTAGCATTTTCAAATTTTCTTGGGGTGATGTGCAACACAGGTAAAATTAAAGTAAAAAATGCATGAATATCGACATCAATCGACTTAAATGTTAAATTTGGGCTTCTTAAATACAAATTAATCAAAATCTGGTGAACAAAAAATTTCACTGTATTGTAATCGACCTTTGACAATGGAAATTTCACAAAAAAAATCATTTTTTATTTGATTTCTTATTTATTTATCGCTTAAAAATTAATATAATGAAAGGAAAAACGCAACCGGATGATCGCCTTTCAGCAATTTTATTGCTGCCCAAATTAGCTCGCAATTGACCGGAACAGTGATACCCTTATTTTTATACTTTTGTGGCATAATGACTAAACACATTGAAAAATGCATTAAAACACTTCATATACACATGTTCAATCGTAAAATAGCGATAAACTAGCGAAAAATGAGTGTTGCACATTACCCCCAAAAAAGTGTTGCACATCACTCCAAACACGCTATTTTGCGCGGACTGGCGTAACACCAACACAACGTAAGAACAAAATAAGAAGCTTCCTTCGCCAGTAAATAAATACAAAACAAAAGTCGTTTTTGTTCGACCCGACTGGCCAAATAATAAATATATTTAAATTTCACAACGTTTCAACCGCATTTTCGGTCCTTCTCAAGTGATTCATCAAGCTGTGCATCCTCAAAAACCGCGTACAAAATATCAACGTAAGAAAATCACAAAATCGCTTTGGATTATCAAAAGTACTTAAAAAACTAACAATATAAAAATATTTACCTATAAGATGACTAAAACCAATTCACGAAATTACTATGAATGTGAAAAGCGAAAATTACATTGAGCTCGAGAAATTTAACTCGCTTTTCGTATAGCAAACCAGGGTGCGTGCCATCTCGCGAGTTATTTATCTAAAACAAGGTACTATTGACACAAATAGATGGCAGTATGCGGTTCTGTCAAATGTCGACATGCAGACCAGGAATCGGAAACGTTGCACATCACCCCATGTTGCACATCACCCCACACAACCCTACTTCTTATTTTTATTATTATTTTTCTTGTATCTATCTGTGTGGGCCTCTATGTTCCGCGAGTGAATGCCGCGTACCTTATATTGTATTTTATCCGAGTGTGAGTGTTCCGCGAGACAAGCGTATGCGCAAATTTTTATCCTACGCGATATGCCACACGCGGGTCCCTGGGCCAGTTTTAACTTTTGACGCCCACTTCTCTGTGATAGGCCCAGGGATCATAAAGCTGTGATATTTATATTTCCGTATTTATGACTGCGACTGGGATTAGTCCCCTAGTGCGCCTTGCAATGGCCCACTGGCGGGGGGCCTCTTGTCCCCCGTCCATGATATTATCTAAGACCGGCGTGCGGCCTAAAGTCGTGCCTTTGATTATGTACTCTTGTACCCCGGGGGCTTCGCCCCCGGGGAATTAGTTTTGGAAATAAACGGCTTTTATCTGTGATGTACATGCATAGAATCCGGCACTCCCTCGCCCTTTCCAGGGGGCGGGGGGGTCTCCCTCCCGACTAGAAGGGCCACTGGGTGCATGACTGGTTGTCGCGGCGCTCCCCGATCGGCTTCGGCCGTGACTGGTTGCCGCGACACTCCCCGATCGTGTCCCAGTTGGTCGAAGATTCTTCCACGTAAAACAAAAAGGCGTCGTAGGCTAGTGCGGAATTCTTCAATCTTTTACCTACTCGGATTAGTCGGTTCTCGTCCATGAATGGGGAAAGACACAGAAGATTACTAGTTTTGCTAATGTCGCGGTGATTAATTAAAGAGTTGTATTCATCTGTGAAGGATTGTTTTTGAATGACTTTACAAATTGTGTTCAACGAATTAGTCATTTTTTTGGGTGATACGGCATGGGTTGACGGCTTAGAATTCCGCGGAGTTAAGACTCTAAGGCAATAGGCAATGATATGACAAATTTTGTTCAGATTGGAAAACTTGTTTAGCAGGTCATCGATGACACTGGGATAGAGGGGTGCAGCAACGGCGCAAATCTTCCTTTGTTCAGGAATCTCGTTAAGCAGGACAAATTCACTGCTAGGCCATTGCCAGGTAGTTGTAGAAACGGGGGGCCGTGCCACCACATGTGCGAGTGTATTAGCTCGTTAGGGAGCAGTCCTCGTGATAACACATCGGCAGGATTGTCTGATGACGCAACGTGTCGCCATTGACGTGGTTCGGTTAGTCTCTGTATTTCCCCGACATGGTTTGCCACAAATGGTAACCATTTTCGTGATGGAGAAGAGAGCCAATTTAAGGCTATGGTGGAATCCGACCACAACGTAATTTTTACATTCGACAGGTGAAAGATACTTTGATTTTATGGATCAATTGGGCAAGCAATAACGCCGCTGCTAATTCTAGGCGTGGAAGGGACGTGGCCTTGAGCGGAGCGACGCGAGATTTGGAGCAAAGCAAAACAGACTTGTACTTATTTTGTCCTACTTTGGTGCAAACGTATACACATGCACCGTAAGCGCACTGGCTAGCGTCGCAAAAGCCGTGTAGCTCGATGTCCTGACAGTCGGCACAACCCCTGACGCAGCGAGGAATCCGTAGCTGCTTGATATTGGGCAGCTGTAATTTAAACTGCAGCCATTGTGAGTATCCTGAGGCACTGACTCATCCCAATCAAGACCCGATTGCCAGAAATCCTGTAATGCGAGTTTCGCAACTACGATGGTGGGGCCTAGCAAACCTAGCGGGTTGAACAATCGGGATACGTCGGATAATATTGAACGCTTGGTCACGGGACCGGAGACGAGGCTGCGTTCATAAGAGAATCGGAAGAAATCGCCATCCTGGTCCCAGAGAATGCCCAAAATACGAACATCGTTTTCCTTATCAAGCGATACAACTCTTTCTCCAAGACAGCTTACGCCCGTTAGCAGTTCGGGGCAATTAGATCCCCATTTGCTGAGTTCGAACGACGCTTCCTTAAGTAACTGTATAGTCTGATCGCGAATCGCGAGAGCGTCTTTGATCGAATCGGCGCCCGTGAGCATATCATCAACATAAAAGTTTCGCTTTACGCACAGTGAACCAAGAGGATATTCTCGCGCACGTTGCTTTGCATGATGCTTTATCGTATTTGTAGCCACGAAGGCGGCCGCAGCGGTTCCGTAGGTGACGACCACTGATTCATACACTTCAATCTTTGAATTGTCTTTACGCCAGAAGATTCTGTGCAATCACGTTTGAGTAGGGTGAAGCCGTATTTGGCGATACATTTTTGTTATGTCAACCACAAGTACGAATTTGTGAATGCGAAAACGCAGGAGTATGGATGCGAGATCTTGCTGAACGACCGGACCGACAAGCATGAGATCGTTTAGAGAGAATCCGGTATCAGTTTTACACGAGGCGTTAAACACTACGCGTATCTTAGGTCCCTCAGCAGTTTCTTTAAAAACACAATGGTGAGGTATATAATAGACACCCTGTTCATTCGACGATTGCTCGCTTATTAGCTCCATGTGCCCTAACGCGATGTACTCCTCCATGAATTCGGAATAGAGCCCTTTTAAGGCAGGGTCGCGGTCAAAACGCTTTTCCAATGCGCGGAAACGATTCAATGCAATTTCCCTCGAATATCCGAGCTTGTCGGCCCAACCTTCCTTTAGAGGGAGTTTAACGACGTATCGGCCTTGCGGATCGCGACTAACAGTCTCCAAAAAGTGCCTTTCGCAGGCTTGCTCCTCAACAGTATAATTATTAGAATTGTTGGGAATGTCCTCCATGTGCCAAAACCGTTGGAGCTGATTATGCAATTCGGCGTTGCTTATGGTAGCGTGAAGAACGACTACCCTCTGGTGTTGCGCAACGCGCGTGCCCGTCCGACCACCCAAGATCCAACCGAACCTCGTCTTTTGTAGAATTGGATGGTTAACTGAGGCCTTGATTTGCCCCACGCAAATGAGACTTCAAAAAACTTCCGCGTCGACAAGAATGTCAATATTCAAAGAGACGTGAAAATTAGGATCGGCAAATTCTATGTTTCGTGGTAGATTAAATGCCGATTTTTTCATGTTAAATGCAGGAACGCTGTCGGTCACACGATTAGTTACTATGCAATCGAGAGTAACGGAAAACGAATTTAATCGCGACTGTAGTTTTACGTGAACTGCTTCTGTAGAACGCGTAGCTGTGCCATTTACTCCGGATATGGACATGCTCACGGAACGTGGTGTCAATAGCTAACTATTGAGACACTCCCGAGAAATTAGGTTAATTTGCGATCCCGAATCTAATAGGACGCGACAAGTCTTTTGGGATCCGTCCCCGATATAAACGAAAGCCACGGCGGTTGATAACAGTACGGATTTACCGTCCGATACGCTTGATGTGTGAGCAATCACCGCGTCCGGAACAGTTGGCCCCGATGGGCCTTTATCGGTCTTTTTGTTGCCGCTTGACTCCGCTTGTTCGGAGACCGTCGTCTGCAAGTGCAGCAACGTATTGTGTTTACGAGTGCAGGTCTTGCAGCCCCCAGACGTGCATTTGTTCGAAGTGTGAGCTGTCGACCTTAAGCAATTCAAGCATATCTTACGAGCGCAAGCTTCTGCTATCCGTTTGGAAATAGAAAGAGCCAAGTTATATTCACAGAGATTTTATCATGCATTTTCGCTTATCACGTGCAATAGTATACGAACTTATTGCACGTTTCGAGATATCAGACGTTTTTACATTTTTACAAGGTATTTTATTATAAATCTTATTGTTAGTAAGTAATTAACTATAATGTAGATTTTATTTTATATAGTAATGATATTTATATATTCAATTAAAAATTACAGAACATGTAGGATATGTACCAATAACGAATGAAAAACATATCTTAAGTTATTTATGGTTTCTTGGCCACGAAAGTGCAGGATATCGTGATGTAGCGGATCGATTTGGTGTTACAATAAGCATATTACATGTAATCATTACAAGAGTCACAATATTTTTAATGCAACTTGCTCCACAAATAATAAGATTTCCTACATTAGAAGAGAAACAGGCAACAATGACATATTTTTTACAGCAAAAAGGATTTCCAGGAATTATGGTATAATCACATATTTGATGTACATTATTGATTTAATACCTGTACAGATACGTTAAATTATTATATAATATTTATTTTCAGGTGCTATAGATGGTACACATCAGACTCGACAAGCCAGAAGAGGATCATGATTCTTGTTCGAGATCGTGCAATTCGGTACGGAAAATCGCGTCATTTCAGCAATTCAAGGCATAAGGCCAGATATTCTAAATTGCTCGCGTAACACGTATGCATGCAGGGAGGGCGGTTGACAAGATTCAATTTCCACCGTGTCGTCTTAACCGCATTGCAAATCGCCTCTTCAATATTAAATTCGTCAGTAAAACATGAATCTTTCTTTTGCTCATATTCCAGAAAGTTCGCTAATCGCCAGAAAAACATTGCCACAGCTGACCAAGTGAACAAACAAAGTCAAGCTACACAATAGAAAGGTCCATGCTATAAACAAAAGCGAGCGCAAACAAGTAACGATCCGCGGATCGTCACGTGCAAACAGTGACGTCAGCGCGATGACGTAGGGCTCCGACGGCCAATCACCCTCCCGAAAGTCATAGTGTCTGGAGGGAGTTTCGCCTCGGAGGTGATAAAACGACCGCCGCCTCGGCACGGGATCGATTCTCGTTCGTAGATCACCCGCTAAAGTATCATCGTATACGACCGCTTGTACTTTGCTTCAACCGCATTTTCGCATTCGCGTAACCGCTCGCCGCTCTTGCCGTGCTAACCATTGTGCGCGCTCACGGCTTTTTCCTTCACTGGAAATATTAAAGACTCTGTAAATACTTGTAAATATAGACTTTATTTTTCATTTGTACTTGCTATTCATTTTTGTTCTTTTTGTGGTCGTCTCGTTACCTCGCGCGATACCGCGCTACCGCGTGCTTTCGAACAATTTTTATATTAACAGAAAACAATATTTTTCTATACATATGCAAGGAACAGTTGACCAAAATTTAAAATTCTTAGATGTTTTTATTGGCTATCCAGGATCCGAACACGATTCAAGAGTGTTTAGGGAATCTCCTTTGTAAAAATCTCTTCACCAAATTTGTTTAGATCAGTGATAACTAACATCAACATAAACAAATTAATTTTAGTTTTGAGTTTAGCTTTCGGATTGGAACCACGTGAATTTATTTTATTCTTACGTTTTATGAACATTTCAGTTCATTTGATCGTCAGGGAAAAGCAATCTAATACAGTATCAGAATTTGATATAGCATCAAATTGTTTTCTCCTGACGAAGTAAACTGAAATGTTCGCGAAACATCAAAATGAAATAAAAAATTAACGCGTCTCTAACCCGAAAGCTAAACTCAATACATCGCGAAAGCCTCAAATATCAGATTAAGTAAGTTTTGATTTGTTGAACTACAATTTATTTTTTAGATGGATCTTACTTACTTGGAGATAGCGCATATCCATGTTTAGATTATTTAATGGTATCATACAGAGATACTGGACATTTAACTCAAGCGCAAAGACATTTCATCAAAAATTAAATTCATGTCGTGTTGACAATTGAGAATGCATTTGGTTGTTTGAAACAACGTTTCAGACAATTGCATTATTTTAAATTGCGGGACATTGTACGCATGGTTCAAATTATACACGCTTGTTGCGTTTTGCATAATTTAGCACACGTAGACGATTTGGAGTTTTTAGAGCCTTCAGTTGATGATGAGTATCCTGATCCAGAAGCGATTATAAATAATGCTAAAAATAATAATGAGATAATTCCTGGAAATCAGCGTGCCCGTGAATTGCGAGACGAGTTGTGCCGTCAATTATTTGTACAACATTATTAAGAAAGATAAATTTTTTTTTATTGTTCTCCAATGTATTTAAAGCATTACCTGATGTTCTTGTAAAATATAATATTTATAAATAAAAAAAAATTTTTTTTTTTAAATAAATTTATTTATTTACACCATGTTTAAATCATAATACTTAAAGTTATTAATACCCTTTAATTGTGTACATATAGAAACTTTTTTATTTTAACAGTCTTTATAATTATACTTATGTTACGATATGTAGGGACATTAATTTAACCGACACAGTCGTAAACGCTATTAGTAATTATCACAAGTAATAATATAAATTATATATTTATATATATCTATTACAATGTTACGTTCCCGAGAGAGTAGGAGGGTAACAGCCACTTCTACACTCAGGCATCTCGCTTGCGGTTAGCGGGGTCGGGGGGTGCCTCGCTGCCGCGGGGGGAACGCCGTAAGCGGTGGGCGAGGGGGTCGAGGGACAGTGTTAAGGGTCATCGGAGGGGGGGCTATGCGGAGGAAAAATCCCTAGGCGGGCAAGGGGGGAACGCGACGCGGGGGGACGGCTGTTTACTGGTATTTGTGGGGACCTTGTTGGGAGTAAATTTCCTAGGCGGGTAAATAGGGAATATCGCGCCGCAGGGCCGCCAACGGGGCTCGGCGCGGGGGACGCGGGCGTTCCAAGGGGAACGCTCGGAGCGGCGCTCCCGCCGTTACCGACCGTTTTGGAAAATCGCGCGCTAATTTTTTTGGCTCGCGCGCGTCCGGGCGCGTCCGAACTTGCACGAACTCGTTCAAACTCGTTTGAGGTCGCTTCTCTCGACGTTCCGCGAAAATGCGTTCAAGGTCGTTCGTTTCGCGGGTCTCCATCGCCTTTCTTCGTTGTTGTTTTTTTCTCGGTTCGAAGGTCGTTTCGATCCGCGTCGCGGACGACGCGATCGCCGCGATTTCGGGGGGTAAGTGTGGTCGCGCGGAGATAGGTATACGGATCTGGGAAAAAGGAGGAAAAAGAAAGAGAGAGCGCACAGATGAGATACGTAGTTTATTTTATTTAGAAAAAAATACACGCGCGTCGACGCGCGTTTACATTGTTTCGCGCTTATGAATATATATATATTTGTAGACGCAACATTATTAGGATCGGAAACAGAGCGCGGCGATCTCGCAGTCGACGATGTTGTCAGGGTCGAAGAAATCGCTTTTCAGTATCGCAGTTTGAACCGAGGTATCCGTCTTGATCGCGTAGGTATCTCCCGATAGCGCGAATACTTCGCGTCGATCTCCTCGGTCGCCGCGCTCAGCGCCGAGACGACGCGATCGACGCAAAATTGGAGATCGTACAGCGTGAGCAGGGTTTTGAGCACCATCGCCACGTGAGCCAAGTTGGGTAGTTCCATACGTAGGATCGGCGTGTCGTTGATCACTCCGAATCGCAGCGTCATCCCTTCGACCGACATCGGCGAGGGGGGGGGGGCAAGTTTTGTCGGAGAGACCGCGTCCCATACACGACAATATGTCGTTTGCGCTCGACCAGTCCTTTCCACATGTCGAGCGTCAGGGAGACCTCCCTGCCTTGTTTGTCTCCCAGGGCGATATCCACGTACTAGCCGGAGAGCTGGCAACAAAAAAAGCAACATGCCTCGGTTCATGAAATATCTTGCCTGGAAAAAGTTCGATTGCTGCCGGCAAAGCGAAAGCCCGACCGTCAGAAGGCGGACTGGAAGCTAAGTGGGTGGGCGGGCGATCAAACGTGTAAATTTTCCAACAAAAAAAACTGTCAATCGGCACGGCTGAAAATTTGCATAGGTATCGAGGAGTATGAGAAAAAGCAGGAAAAAATGGTCAAAAGAGTAAGTAGAAGCTAAAGGGTTGTCAGAAGCTGCCAAAGTTGCGAAAAATCTCGGAAAATTTACATATTAAGAAGCACTTCTGACAATTTGCATTTGTATTGTTTACGTATAGAATAAACTAAGTGCAAAGTGTCAGAAAACAAAGTGAAAGCGATCATGAGAAAATCGGGTGCAAAGTGCGAGAGCGTCTTTCGGCGCGCGGCGCAGCGCCTAGTGGACCGATCGCTTTTTTCTTGATTTTCACACCGTACATATTTCATAGCACTTCTGACAATTTATCAGAATATTCATAAAAGACTAAAGGAACTATTATTAAAATGTCAGAAGTCAATTGAGAAGAATTAATAAATTTAATTTTGCTTCCTCATAGAGGAGACTTTGTGATGGTAAAAAATTTTTTTTCGAGATTTTAAAGGAAATAGGTTTAGAATGTTCCAAAATGTCGAGAAATCGTATTAATAGAAAATGTCCGGAAGTGTGTGTGTGTGTGTGTGTGTGTGTGTGTGTGTGTGTGTGTGTGTGTG